TTTTTAGTTTAGAACATAATTAATATCAGATTATCTAATTTAGGAAACCGGCACACCGAAATAATAAAGAAAATTTTTTTGTAGATTTAGATATATTGTTTGTAGAAATTCCGGATATTCAACATTACCATTAATGATTTTGTGTGATGATATACATCACACATATATGTTTTCTTTATTTATTATCAATTATCATTCTCTTTAGACCTTTTTTTAAATTGTTCTTTTTCCAATTTTTCATGGACCCACGGAAAAAACCCGCTCTTTTCGAGAACTATTTTTTTCAAAATCTTCAGTCATTTTGAACACTAAGTACCTACAGAGTCCTCTGCGTACAATGCGGAATTGTGCCACTGAAAAGTTAGGTACAATACGGAATCGTGAATCGCCGAGTACAATAACCGGTCCGGGGATGAACAGGATACAGCGGTGACAACCGATTTGCGTCCGTGGTTTTTGCATGCTCGTAACCACCGAGGAAGCGATTCGGTTGTCGCAACGTGCATAATATATATACGGCAAAAAAGAAGGGAAATATAATTTTCTCTTTTTTAGGGATGTGAATCGTATGTAGCCCCTCCGATACGCCACTTTCAGTTTGGGCAAATGTAAGTTCCTACACGAGACCAAGTAGATAAAAAATTGCATATGTTATAGTTCCTACACAATAGACTAAGGTACACATGTAAGTTTCTACACGGTAAAAAAAAGGTGCATAATATGTTAGCTCTTATACAGTAAAAAAAAGTAAAAATGTCAGTAAGTGTATTATTTATCACTATAGTTAAAAGTACCATCCATATATAAAGCGTATAATGTTTTTAATGAAATCTATATTTGTTTTACATAACCTAACCTATCTATTTATGAAATGCATTGTGTGATTTTCATTATATTTTACCTTCATCATCTATTTATGTATGCAATTTATAATTGACGTGCATTTGAATTATCTTTTACTGTGCAAGAACTTACATAGGTACCTAAAGAATTTGTCCACGTGTAGGAACTAACATACGCACTTTTTTTTTACCCTGTAGAAACTTACACATCACATTAGTATGAACTAACTTATATAATCGTTTGCCTGCTACTCTCGTGTAGGAACTTACTATTATCCGTCAGTTTTGTAGCTCTATGCTTCTCGGGAAATGATAATATACGTCCCGGGGTCGTCGACAGCGCGCGGATACGCGGAGACACGTTCCACGGGTTCTCCCAGTTTCCTATCCTATCCTACATAATATCGCGTTTCGTGTTTTTTTGTCTAAAAATAGTTACGAATTACTTCTCCCGAATAAGGTCGTTGGCCTCCTTTCTCCGGGTGCCACGTTTGAAAACTCAACTCAAGTCGACTTTAATGATAATTGAAATTAAACGAAATAATTGTTACACTATAATCGTTGATTATTGAACAATAGGCAGTACGGATTGCTCACCGCCCGGCGGCGATGCGAAAACCCCCGATAATATAACCGAAATATTCATATTAATCGGGATTTAATTTTGCCCCCCGTATACTATGAAATAGCACGGGTACGAGGAAAACTCATTTTGCTCGACGCTAGCTTACTATATACTTGTATATTTTTTCCGCTAATTTAAAAAAATATACCATTAACAATAATGACTATAGTAACCTAAAAAAAGTAAAAAAAAAATCATAATTAAAAAAACAAAAATTTGATAAAATTAACATTATTATGTAGGTAATAGGAATTATTTTATCATCATTTATGTACGGATACTAAAACTATATTCATAATCAAATTTTCCTTGGCGCTTTTCAAGTATTCTCTGTTGCATATCGTTTTACTGAGCACTCGCCGTTGAAGTTTATTTTCAATTAACGTATCGTGCAGGTCATGTTATGTCCGTTCGAATTGTTTGATTATTTCCAGAACCAATAGTTGTTTAAAATGCTAAACATTTTATTTTCACATCGTTACTTTTCTTCAACTCGTTTGTTTACAAAACTTAAAGTAATTTAAACGAATCAAAACTTTTCCAAGTTTGTTGACTATTTCGTTCAATACAGTCATCTTGAAATTAACGAACGCACTAAAACGTGTCTAATAATATTTTGTTGAATGCTCTCGTATCGCGATATAATATTTTTCAGCGTATGTGACGATTCGTTTAGAAAAAACAGTCGAAAGTTCTTATGCTATATTAAATATAGTTGCAAACGGTGGAGTTTACCATTAGCAGAGTTTATTTTATTTTCCCAGTTATAAAAAAAAAATCTTACGGGAGGAAAAAATTCAACCCGAAAATCGGCTACCTAAACCAGAAGTCGCAATCCTACCAAAAACCACATAAAACCTATACTATGCTTCTTTCATATTATTACCTGAAATAACTATTACATTAAAAAAAAAAAAATCTCATATCTATAATACCATTTAGCATTATCTCCATTTCCCTTTGTAAAATGCTTGTAGTCGAAGCTACTCTGTACAGTAACCATCGATGTATAAATAAACCTTTATGCGTAGAAATAGTAGTTAATTTTTGACTAATCAAAGCCAAAGCTCATTGTTGATATGCTTAACATGAATCTCATGTACAGAATACTTTTGTTCCCTGAAACACACTAATTAAAAAATGAACTCTAGGAATTTGTGGAAATCAAGAAAAAGTGGACCTATACACTTTTCAATATCTGTTTAGTGTAACATTGTAATCGCCATATAAGCGAATTTTTCCACCAGATTGAATTACTAGCACAACTGGAGTTACCCAATCAACATTTTCCACGGGTATTATAATTCCTTCTTCCTTTAATCTTTCTAGCTTCTCACTGGCTTTATCTTTAAGCGCAAAGGTTAATACTCTTGGCTTACTAAACATAGAAATATTATACACAACTGGAAATTCTTTTACCACATTCTTATAATATGATAAGATATTTAACTGCAATTCAGTCAATATAATGTTTAATTCACTAAGCCAATCCCTACCATTGATTGGCGATCCATCCTCCTTAATTACAATTTTAATTTTTTTTTTATTTGTAATTTTAACATTAACTTTAAATTATTCCAAAGAATTGATGACAGTGATACGTTTTTAAACTGATTTCAATATTCTTTGCGATTTTAATATCAATTATCTTAAATATTTAAAAACACTTTGTGAAATAGCTGAAATTGCGGACTCTGCAGTGTCCACTTGAAAATTAATATTTTTTCCTTCAATTTTTAAATCAATCAAATAAAGTTGACAAAAATAAAGCCAATTCAATTAAAGACAAAAAAATAAAGAATGTATGCATAGTAAAACCGATAAATCCTTCACTACGCTCAGAATCTAAAATATGAGTTTAAAAAATGTTAAAAATTGCTCATATGCAATTAACTGTTGCGTTTAAAAATAAAATTTTCAAAATTTATGTGCAATGGATTAGACCTATAAGGTTTTCACTATACAAAAAATATACACGTATTTGGTTCTCTCTTCGGCCGATATTACAGTTTTTCCTGTAAAGCATGATTTTTGAGCAAAAAAAAAAATATAAGTGACAATATTATTTCGACCATTTACTTGCAGTGGATAAGTATTTGACCATTTTGTAAAATTTCGAAATATATTCCTCACAGAATTTGCAGTCTTAAGTCGAGTTGGTTCTACTCTATTAATTTTGCATTATTGACGGATACCTATCTAACGATCCACTTCCTATCTACACAACGCTTTTGTCAATCATAAGCATAACTATTGCAGTATATCAATATGATAACTTTGATCGAAGTAATACAATGTATTTAAAACGTTTTTCTACAATTAAATGCAATTATTTAATTTGCTGTAATCGAAATATGCATAACAATGATTAATAATAACGTAAAAAAACACAAAAAAAAAAATTAAATTACATTTAAAAGTTTGAAATTGTGAAAGGTTTAAAATATAATATTTAACACATCAACTGGTGTGTAAAAATATTATTAATGATTGATGTTCTATTACGCATTCCCCACGTGTTTGTATTAAAAATTTAATTTTATATTTGTTGAGTTGGTAGGTATTACATTTTCGTTTTTCAATAAACAACTATAGGAATATAAATAATACAATAGTTGTTATTAACACAACATTCGAGTAATCCATAAATATTTCATAGGAAATATCTATTGATATTAATATACTATTTGGGTACTTATACATTAAAACATAAAGACATTATCATTTTGGAGTTTAGTTATGCATATTACCAATGAGTCGAATCGATAAATTGTTATTGAAAACCCAGAAATCAAACAGAACAATATTATTGTCGTCTGTTTTTCGATTATTTTCGTTGGCAGTTGAAAATCTAGACTTCTTTCAAATTAGGTACCACCGGAGGATATTCAATGCAAAATCGAAGAACGAAAATATTTTAGATTTTTGTTTTTTATTCTTAAACATTTATAGTAAAATTAAAATATATAGGTAATTTGATTGACAGTAAAAATATTCTATTGTATAACAAAAAAAAAAAAAAAAAAAAACCGGATACAACTAACCTAACCTAACGATTATAATATAAGTATTTAAAAAGTACGGAAATAGATAGTAATATTATATAATATAATACTCTTATATATTATAATACACAAAGTATGTTAAAAGATCGACGATTCTAACGACAACGTTAATGTATTCTAATAATCATAATATAAACGGACCTAATACCGTTATTTATAATATAGTATTATCGTAATGTGCGTCACGTTTAAAATGTAGGTAATAATATTTAGAAAAAAAAAGATAACTAATTGATAAAAAAAAAAAAAAAAAAAAAAAAAACAAACAAACAAAACAAAACATAAACATAAACTTAACGATCGATACAATATTAACGATTATTGCGGTAATTTATTATTAAACGTCTCTGGTTATCGCGTTTATATATTTAATTGTTGTTAAACGTTTTTAGTCGTCTTTCGGCCGAAAAACGTTCTGTACAGTTTTACGGCCGTCGCGGAGTAAAACCGCCGGCGCGGCGACGGCTGCTATTTGTCCACCGGCAAGTGTTCGTGCACGTAGGTCCGGCTGCCGCCTTCGGCGAACTGGGCGGCCGCGTGACCGTCGCCGTTCAGTATCCACTTGGTGGTCAGAAGTCCTTCGACGCCCACGGGACCGCGCGCGTGTATTCTGGCCGTGCTGATGCCCACCTCGGCGCCTATGCGAAAAAACACAAAACGGGAGATAAAAAATAAAATAAAAACAAAATAACGTTGACTCGTGAATATTTATTTTAATGGTGGGTACGGTCGCCGAATCGGGAAAAAACATCGCGGGGTGTAATATAGTATTTGTCGGAAAATCGACAGAGCCAGTATAACTGTACATAGGTAACTAGTTGAAAAGTTTGAAGCTAAAACGTGACGAGTTTATTTTTAGGTTTTTTTTTTTTTTTATAACTTTTAACTAGTTGTAAAAAAAAAAATACTGATACTGCCAATGAGCGTAATACTGTTTTAGAATAAAAGTCAGAAAGGAGGATATATATGTTATAAAGTAGTTTAATTTACATCGGTACGCGACGATAAATAATTTGAGCAGTGTATTATTAGAGGTATTTTTCGGCTTTGTTGCTAAAGTAACCCAGCAATCCACTAAAATTGTACAAAAAAATGTTCAGTTTTTCCGCTTATTAATAAAACTACGAATAGTATTAAAAACTGACCTACATATTATATCAACTAAATTAAAATGTCTACGAGAAAGGCCTTATAAAGTTTTTGATTAAAACTAGATTTCAGGTAGGTATTTACAAACGAGAATGCGGTCTGAACAGGTACCTATATGAAATACCCACACGGGTTGTGTATAGTAAACCTACACAAGTCTAAATATTAGAGTACAAAATACGTTTATGAGTTTATAGAACAGGATAATTTTAAACAAAGTAACTTTGAAGTTTTAACTAAGTTATCAATTTCCTGAAAATTTGTAATCTATATAAGTTACTCGAATTTGCTTATAAGTTAAATTATTATTTAGTATTACCTAGTTGGCTTACTATAGATTTTTGATATTTGTACACACCATAATAACAACTTTTAAAGAATGTTGTACCAAATTTTCGAGCATTCATTCGAAATCAAAATAATTTTATTCACATAAAACAAAAACAAAAAGAGCTCTACAGTTTTAAATAAATAGTTGTAAATAATTCAAAAAACGACAGAATAATTCGAAAATTGGATCATGTCTAGAAAAATTGTAAATATGAATATTCGGTCATCGCAGGTCTCTACGGTTATTTATTTTTCATTGAATAATAACAAAATATAACGTAGCCAAAATTAACAAAAACCGTTATTGCGTAAATATTGGCGTATTTTCCCCGTTTTTTAAGACAAGATTTTGCAGCGACTAGAGAACATTTTCTGTCAAGAACCATTACAAAAGATTGAAGCAAGATTACAGGTCGAAAAGTTGTTTACAGACCTCCGAACAACCGATGTGTAGACTTCACATGATCCCGGATCTCAATGAGAATTCTTGTGTAATACGATTAGTGTTGTACATAGAATATTATCATAAAATATTACGATGGATTTGCATAATTCCTTATTCACAGCTTAGATATACACCTAAAGTCCCCAATTTATAATGTGTTATATTATTTTTTATGCCATACACGTCATATTCATTGCAAGGCATGTTCTAAACATAAATTTGAAAAGTTTATAGCCCGGTGAGTCCTGCATATTATGTAAGTTGAATAATAAATTATATAATTTTCGGGTGTTCGCGAAAATTTAAATCTAGGGTACTATTAAAAAAAGACAAATTAATAAAAAAAAAAATATCGTTTGAAAAAAAAAATCAACTCAACAATATTTTCTAGTACACCTACGCGTACATAGTATACGCGTTACGTTAATCGAATTCAAGGTAACGATTTTTTTTTTAATATTTTCCGAATGCATAATATTAATCTTTGGACTTTTAAATGATTTCAATTACAGAAATCCCATATCTACAGCAGAAATTCGCACATAATTTAATCAATCTAACCTAAGCTAACCTTTTTTTTTCTTATTAAGCACCACCGAGCCGGAGGCAACCGTGTTAGCATTACTTCCTCCGGCCTGGCACACACTACTTAGCCTCCGGCCTGAGGGCAATTTAACTTAACCTAGCCTAATCTAATACTAACTTTACTTAACCTTCTAATATTAACATTAGTATAAAATGCAATTTATTTTTATTATGTAAGTATTTTTAATTCGTGTTTAAATTCAATATTGTTTTAATTTTTAAAAAGTTTATCGCGATCTGATTATATGCTTAAAAACGAAGTACGATTAAAAAGTAAATTTAAACAAATAATAATATGTTATATTGATTTTTGTCATGTTTACCCAGTATCCACTATTACAAATATTTTTCAATTTGCATAGATCAAATACTAATATTATTAATAACAATACAAATACTCGAATTTCGTTCAAATAAAAATGTTACTATATACCTATGTGGTTAATTTGCATGTCTATACAGCAAACTATAAAATATAGTATTTGAAAAAAAAACTTTTATTATTAACGTTATTAAATATTCTCTATTATAATCAATAACGAAATTTGTATTTGAATAATAAATTACGCTATAGTATTGAGTACCTATAGATTAAATTACATATAAATTATTAATAATTTAATAATTTAAATGTAGACGGATACTATTATCCGTCTAAAAAGTGTTTAAATAATTGTTTACAATAATATATTAAACTTCAGACACTGATCGTAAGCAACAAATAATTTTTGCCCGTATTTCTGAGCGATTTAGCTATAGAAAAAGTCAAATGGGTTAAACGGATTTATTGCGATAAGAATAAAATTATCCACTAAACTTTGACAAAGAATTATTATAGCCCTGTAACATGGCGTTTTTCTATTTTTCTTTCTTTTATTTAATTTTTTTTTCATCCTTCTGTATGTCTCGTTGGTTTCAAAACGGCCTTTGTCAGCAATCGGATTAAAATTGCAACAACTCTACTCTTTAGGGACCAACTGTTGTCACCAGCCATTTATAAATTGACAAAAGAAACATTTTAATAGATCCATTTTATTGCCTTTTTTTTTTTCACTATTTTCAGAATCAAAACTTACAGTAATAATAATAATAATATACTTAAGTGCGTGATAAATAAATAATCCGGAATGATGACATTAAATTACTATACCGAACATTTAAAATACATATGTATACAATTTATTATATACATGAAATGCAATTACTATTTATTGATAAAAATCATTTAAATCAATTTGAATAATTTATTTCGTTAGAAAAAACTTTCACGGACAAACAATAAAAGAAAATAGTATACAAGTACCTACCTACCTACATTTGCATTACGAATTCGTTCGTACCGCGTAATTTAGTTTGTAAACAAAATACTTACATTTTACATTGTACATTTTAAAAACAAAACAAATATCGATTTTAAATCAGGTACCCGTAATTATTACTTCGAAATGAAACGTATTTGCAGTGCGATTAATCGTTATAACTAAAAAATATAACGGTAAAACAATAACTTTTCTACATCGACGAAAATATAGCGATTCTGGGCGGGTAATAAAATTATATATTAATATAGGTGAAGAAAATGATGTCATTTAAAACGCTCGTTCGTTTTTGTTTCACTTCACGGACGTTAAAATTATTAAAAACAATTAAGGGCTGAGTAGAATTCATATTTTTAGCGACTTAACAATTATTTTTCCGGTACCATTAAAAAAGTGAAGACTTATATACGGGGGAGGGGGGTCCATCTCGAATAGATACTCGCATTTAAGTTTTTTTTTTGTTTTTTACGTATATGCCTAATTTCCGTATTAATCGTCGAACTTCCATCGTTGAATATCGTGTATGTAATCGAAATATTGAATTACTACACCATCAGATGAAATCATTTGTGAGTTAAGTATGTTAAACGAAGAAGAACCGAAAATCATATTTTGTTTTACAGTCATGCATTATTATGTATATTTAATATAGAGATATAATTTACATTTTCTAATTGAAGGACGTTTATTCATCTGCGATTGCAAAAATTACGTGAAATGTAGATGAAAGGGTTCAATCCCCCTCTCGTAGGGTAAATGCAATGTTTGCCAATGTAAATACTCCTCCGTAAAAACATGTGCAACATAAACGAATATCCAATCGTTGTATGATCCACAGACAATTTAAGTAAACAATATTATTATCAATATGTAGATACCCATATACTGCTATTATAAAAAAAAAAATGTAATTTGTAATCGCTGGTTATCGAAATGCTAATTATTATAATATAGTTCACCACACGTTATCCCACCAGTTATTATTAATCTATTTATTATTCAATATCACGATAGACCAAATCAATTGCATGTAAGTTTTACTGTTATGCAATAAATTTTAAAATGAATATGTTAACCCTTTTAAAGTTCACAAAATAATACGTTTAGTAAATTTTAAACTTTTTTATAGATTATATTTTACAACTAGATACCTATATAATAAATTAATTAAATATTACATAAGACAAACAGTTAATCATTTTCGTAATAATGATTCTTGGTATGCATATTAACAAAAAAAAAATACACTCAATTGATCAGATAAGTATCTAAAAAAAAGTGGATAAGCTACATTTTTTAATGATGACAATTACAAATTACGAGATGATAACAATAAGTCAAACGATTAATAGAGTTGAATTACCTATAAGTTCTATTTTAAATAATACTCTACTATCAATTTTTTTATAATATTATGGATGAATTATGTTTTTAAATCATTCGAAAATTATACGTAAAAGATAAAAACCATTTCATTTGTTCGGAAGAAGCTGTAGTTACAACTTTCACATCAATCAGATAGGTATCATGATTTTATATTAATTTATTAAGTCTCCACTCTCTGATATAGGCTTGCGAGCTTTTGGAAACAATTATTTAATCATTTTGTTCGAATGCTAAAATTGTAATTTCCATTAACGGCAGTAAATTAATTAAGAAAAGTTACTATAGTTAATAATCTTAATTGGTAAAAAATTATATTTGTCTAGTTATTATAGTTGAAATATGATAAAATGATACGTTAAAATGCATTTGAAATAATGCCTAATATACGAATATTTTGCTCTGATTCTGGTTGCGATTTACGTTTTTAAATAAACTTACATGAGATTAACGAAAATCTATTATTATCAATAAATTACTTACCCAAACCAAACCTGAAGCCGTCGGCGAACCTCGAACTGGCATTATGGAACACGCAGGCACTATCAACGTCTCTTTGGAATTTTGAAGCTGCATCGCCTAATTTTCAAAAGACAAATATTCAATGTTAACGCTATTTATACAATACTTTGCAATATCATTAGCATAATTGTAAAAAGCCTACTGTTTTCTGTGATGATGACTTCTGTGTGGCCACTTCCGTACGTGTGTATGTGACTGATAGCAGAGTCCAAGTCAGAGACTAGCTCGATAGCGCATGCCAACTCGCCGTATTCATGTTTTAGAGACTTGGCTCTGGGAGGACCAAAAGTCAAACGCGATGATAGTTTCGGACCGGAAAATAATTGTACCTATAAAAAGCGACATTTATTGTTATCAACACGAAATAAGTGTCCAATCGACAATCATTTTTAACCTTAACTAATATAGACAATACAGTTCAAGATTAAACATTGATTGATACTATAAATAATATTAATTCGGTTATTATTATTAATTTTAATTAATTTAAGTCAGTGTATAAATCGAGTGTATTATTATAATTTTAATCACAAAATAGATATAATATAATGATATTAATAAAATATAATGGCATGTAAGTTTTGAAATTTAACGAAATTTGTTGGGCGGTGTTTTTTATTGTTTTTTTTTTCTACTATATTTATCCTAGAAATTAATCAAACAAAATACGCTATAATAAATGAGCTATGCAATTATTAAAATTACAATTGTGTAAAATAGTTTGTGTAGAATCATAATATTCTTAACAAAATATACTATATTAATAATACCTATTGTAACTAATGTGTAACATAACTGTTAAACATAGTTCACAAACATAATATAATAATAATACACATATTGACTCACTAGAAACGCAATCAAAATTGCAGTGCACAAATAGAACCTATATATTGAAGTTCTCGCGAAAATAAATTATACTAAAACGGTTTGTATTTAATTTTCTAAAGGAGTTAGTGAAGTGGCTATATATATTAAACATTTTCTAATTCTTGTATAGTGTTCTATTTTTCAATACAAATTTTTAATACGAGTCGTACGTTAAAATTAAATTAAAGTTTATAAATTCTGAACAACAATTATCGAATATTTACATTTTCTTTCTTTAACATATCGCAGACATCGTTGAAGAATTGTCCGCCGAATAATTCTTCATGAATCAGGAGAGTTTCCATAGCGTTACACGCGGCAGGGTAATCGCACTTGGAATCGCGAACTTAAACATAAAACATACAATTAGGTACATACGTTTCTGATTAGATTAGAAAAAATATGTACTCTATAAAATTAAGTAGGTACCACTACTACTCACTTATAGTCAAAGCTTTTTCTAGATTAGCGTCTTTGTCCACGTATACGTGACAAATTCCTTCGGCGTGTCCCAAGACAGGTATGTGTGCACTTTGATCCTGAATACTACGGACCAAATCGCTAGATCCACGGGGAATAATCAGATCGATGTGTTGTTCCATAGCCAGTAAATCACTGATTTCTTCCCGAGTCGATACCTACGAGTGTACCGTTTGAAATTATTATTCTATTTAAACGAATAAGTAAATAAAAGATGTTCCTATATTAATATTATAAATATTTGCTTAGTAGAATAGCAAAAGCAAAGAAGAATTTTCGGAATAAAAATTTTATCTACTGACCACGTGTGATCCACCACCAATAGTGATCACCAATAGTGATCTTGAAAGTATATGATGTGAGGAATATATGCGGCTCTATATGGGTGCGAAACTAGGACACTTGGTACTTTAGACAAAAGAAATATTGATACTTTTAAAATGCGGTCAAAAAATATTTAAGATTCAATGAACATTAAGAGTTTATATAATAAACCAGGTAGTACTGAACAAAATGTGTTTCATTTTTCACGAAAAACGATAACTTCAACATAATATTAAAGTCAAAAGAGAAAAAATGATAAGGTATCTACCGCATTACGATAGTTTGATAAAGAGCGTCATATAAGGGGGCTTTGAAGGCCAAGGAATACATGAGACACAATTTCGATAACCGTGAATATGGATAGTTATAAGGACATAAAGGAATTCAGCTATGAAAGAGAGGCGAGGAGATGTGCAGCAAACATTTGACGAGGAAAAGAAACATCTAGAAACGGAAAAAGACGTCAGTGTATAAAATAATAATATTACGAGTTTTCAAATCACTATTAGAGACGACAATGGGGGGAAAAAAACACGAGATTTCATTTTCGAAATACGATTAACTACTATGACCAATATTATAACAATATTATTATGTTTTCCCGCAGTAAATGTGCAGAAAACACTATTAGTCATCGTAATAATTTTCGCCTTATTATAGTGACGTGTCGTGAAACTTGACTTTGAATAATATTCACCAAGGATATGGCGTCCTGGGCGCCGACCGTGGCCAAAGCTTCTTTGACAACATCCATGAGTGCTTTGTTACTGTGCGATGCTTCTTTGCCTCCTTTCAATAAAAGTCCATTTGCCGAACTCAACGCCAGAGCAGCCACCTGTTGTAGGCCCACAAAAGTCATTTTCGTATAATATAATAACATTTTATACATTATTCGATGTGTTGAAAATGGCACAACGGGGTGGTGACATAATAAATTATTGTTCGGTATACGTGAAAATTTACGCATTAGTCATTATAAATTCAAACGCTCCAGTCCCTTTCGATGAATAAATAAAATACAAGCTGATTTTTCAATACGTACCACATATGTATATGTAAATATTTTTTATTTTTATTTTTTTTACTAACGTGATGTATTATGTACCTAATGCGGTTTTTAATAAGATGTATAGCTGTTACCTGCATAGTATTTTCTATTAAATACAGATTAAGTTTTTTTTTTTTTTTTTTTAAATTAAAACTCGTCATCATTGCGTTAAAACCGATTTTTTATTATACTATTATAATTTGTGTCTGTGTCCTTACGTATTAATTTAAAATACATATTTTATTTAAACAAATTAAATAGGTATGTAATAAAAAAAATATCTTTTTTTTAACAAAAACATTTACGTACGTTTTATGAATTAATTCATTTACGAAATCTGCGGTTTAAAAAACATCCCGCATTTTAATTGAAAATATTACAAGCGAATATTATTATTTGTATTTGTGTTTTATTCGTGTTATTGAGGTTATTGTTTTTTTAATCAATCTTCATCTCTCCTTCTATCTCTTTCTCTCTCTTGTAGATCCGACATTTATTTTGTTTGTTTAAACACGCGTGTATAAATATCGTGTAATTAATTTGTCAGTCATTTGTTAGATACTAGATAGATATTATAATATTTACTTATACCTAATATATTACCAAAATATTGAAAATAAATTACAAAAACAGTATTGTGAAAAATTCTATAATATTATTCTACCTCTAGTGATAGATATCACTATTCATAATAATTATTAACCGATTTCAAGTACAAATTGTGTTTGGATTGTGTTTTGGACAAATAAAAGATATATTTACTTGCGGTAAGCAATCGGGCCGAGATTCGAAAATGACAAGAAGAACACCAATGGGTACCGTGACTTGAGTTAAATCTAATCCTTCGGCGACTTTCGTTCTCTTTAATACTCTGCCGACGTTCGTGTGACTGGTCTCAGCGATTTGCTTAAGACCTTTATTGATACGATAAAAATAGTAAAATTGGTGTTAGTTAGGACATCTATACTAATAAAATGAAACATTGTGGCAGTATCAGTGACGTAGTCAAAATTTTGAATTAGTGGGGGTTAGATAATATGATTTTGCTTAAGATATGGGAAATGGGTGGAGTTAGAGTTTTGACTTCCCCACAGAAAAAAAAACCGTAGAAATGTGTTCATAAAATTTAATGGAATACTTTAAATAGTAATAAAAAAAATATCAAAAACATAATAATGAAATAATAGAATACAAATAATGATATGCGTATGTATTATTATGGTCTAACTTTCCAGGAGAATTTTGTACAAAGGCAAAAATTAAAACATTTTTATTAATTAACCCGTTGGATCAATATTCTGACATAGTATTCCTCCTTAAATACGTTTTCATACGGCTTGGTATAGAACAAGTACTTTAGGGAGTGAAAAAATTAACTGAAAACGTTGTTAACACTCAAATCGTAAAATAGTACGACATACATAAAGAACTATGGACCCCCTTCCTTGAATACGTCACTGAGTGTCATGATTTACGGATAGGAAATGTTACCTATGGCCAGACTCTTAAGTTTAGCTGATGTCAACGATAACCGACTGATCAAAGGAGCGGCCGTGCCTTCTTTAGTAGCTATCGCAATGTCTTTTTCATTAGCATCCAGAATATACGCCTGTCTGCTAATCAGTAAATCCGCTAAAGTGTAAATGGCTCTGGCTCGATCTTCGGCCGGTAACTTTTGCAATATACGGCTTCCATGACGGGCTGTAAAATTGCATTCAAGTTTTATAACACGTCATAGATTAATTATAGTTTCGGTAAAAGTTACGGGCAGTCTAAAACGATTTGTTTATTCATACATTTAGACCAATAAACTAGAATAAAATAAATATACTTTCAGAAGTACAATATTTGTTTTAAAAAATGATTCAACTTCGTATACTTATTTTTCTATGTTTCGTATAGCGAAAATATTTTAATTTTAATTTGTTTATGTGGTAAAATTAAATACTAGTTTATTTTTAAAATAAAAGTTGAACTCATCAAGTATTTAAACTAAATTTACGTAATAAAAAATAAAAACCCATAAAATATTTTCTTCAAACCATAAACAAGGCATTAAAAAATTCAAATATTTTTTAAAAATTAAAATTGAGTTAATGGTAGTGGGTGAATTTTACTACTGCAGTATATCGGTCTAAAACGTTGAAAAAACGACCATACCACCCTTTAAAATGGACATCGGACAGTAAATCAGTGGAAAAATCTTATCATTAAAATAATTTTACCATTTTCCAACCTTCTTCGTGCAAATTAAATATTCGATTTCGCGATAGTAGCCAAATTAATTAATAGCGTATAGGTATTATTTTCGTGGTGATGATATTGTGAAATCGATATAACGCGTAAGACACTATCATTAACTCGGAAAGTATTAACTTTTTTCGTTTTTTTTTTAATAGTTTAAGAAGTAAATAGCTTAAATGTTACATTTCGATTGTTTTTTATCGCACTTTAAAGGAGTGTAACCACTACCTAGTTTTATTTTCAAATGGCAACTTATAATAAAAATTCCATAAATAGATGGAGTATTGGTTTTAATAAACTATGGTGTTGAGATTTATAATTTCCGTCTAAAAGTGAAACATCTCGGATTTCACTTTTAAATTTAATTAACGAAAGAAAGCTGGTTTCACAATAGGATGTTGATAAAAATTTTAATTTGTGTTACCATTTGAAATCATAAGTAGGTAATGGATTCACCTAACTAAAATAAGGGTGGAAAAAAAAGTGTAATGAAACATTTTTGAGCTTCTTATTTTTTAAATGTTCTAAAAAATAAATATCGAAAAAAGTTGGTACTTATCGAGTGTTTTACGTTATGTGAATCATTCTGTATTATAGAAGTATACTAAAATTCTCTTGGTTAAAAAGTTAAATTGATTTAGTTTGTACTTTGAGAATAAAATGGTTTATTATTAACTCGTCTATACATAATGAGTACATATAGTTTACCCGATTGATATACGAAAAATACGAGAAAAAAACTAATAAACTTTTAATTATTTTAATTAAAGCGAATTTTTTTTTGACGATATGGATTTTAGTTTTATACGTGGAATTAATCCCAAATTTGCAATAAATTAATAATTAACTTTCGAGTTATAAATTACCTAAACAATATGTATAATGGGATAATTTCACGGATAAAAATTTTTGTGTACCTATAAATATTATACATAATTTATTCAAACTGATGTAATTGGACGTTTGTAACATTTTAAACACAAGTCGAATTAAAAAACTCAATCGATAATCGTTTAAAATGAATAGTAGCTAAGTAACTCGATAGTGATTATTGATTTACTATAAATTCGGTATCGTTAATATTAATTGTCGAAATTTGGCATTGAGTCCGTTTCGTCGACATATTGTGTTATTTTCATAAACTTGTTCATCCTATTGCGATTAGAAAGTGCCAACGTACCGTTTTCAGCTAGCGTTTCGACCGGAGCGGTATTAGCGGTCGGAGCGTTGGTGAAAAATGTACCGATTTTCCGGCCGGCCAAAATAGACTTTATGGCTTTTTCTTGCATCCCGTTACAGATAATCACGGATACGCCTCTGTTAAGCGCCCACGTGGCTGCTTGTACCTAAAACAACAACAATATTCACATGATTCATTATAATGTATACAAATACTGTTAATATAAACGGTCCAAAGGTCTTCTACACACGTTTTATTGCGAAATATCCGATTTAAAGAAATATAGATAATATTATATGTATCACTATAAAATATTATGTCTTGGTTATATTATTATATACCGATTAAACCGTTAATAAGTGCTAAATAAATGTAATTATCCTAACTGTTTTTTTTTTTTTTTTTAATTGAGGGCTCAGCACAAAAACAAGGAAAGTCCAAAATGACCTTTTAATACAATTAATGACTACATAATCTGGTGCAACGAGAATGCAAATCCATATACAAAACGCGTAGAAAATCACTATTTTCTTAGTGATCAGGACTTGTCGGGTTTAATCAAATTTTAGACAAAAACAAAACGAATCCCGTAGTTCCTTATTCGAACGACTCGTTTAGAAAAGTGTACTTGTGACGTTGCACTAAGCCGATCAATTTTTCTAAACGAGTAGTATTGTTCGCGCGATTGAATAACGAAGTCGACTCACCTTGGAGTCCATGCCCCCTGTGCCGACGGTGGATTTTTTTCCAAACTGTATTATGTCCGCCATGTCACTGTTGTACGTCCAAATCATTTTCGCTCCTTCTTGTTTCGGCGGAAGCGTGTAGATACCGTCCACGTCGGACATCAGCAAAAGTAAGTCGGCTTTCACCTCGGCGGCCAACATGGCGGCCAAACTGTCATTGTCTTTGATACTAATTACCTGTTTATCAAATATACTTTTTAAACCCTGTTTAATAAAAATATATACATATATCAAAACGAATGATTATAAATTTTAATATTGCAGCTTGGTGGGTACAGGTATCGAAATATTTCTAAACCATATTATGTACAATAAACACAATAATATCACATATCAATCAATAGTAATCTGCAGTATTATCACTGAAACAATAATATGTAATATACTTACATGCATAATACGGTTATGGTCAACTATATAATATTATGTATCGGTAAGTATATTACTGTTAAAGCGTGCGTATTTTATAATAATTTAAAATTATTTTTATAATTTATAATCATAGCCCGTTATATAATCGGTCGTAATTGTATGTGTAAGTCGTAATAGCGCACTTTTTTGCCTTTGGATTTGATGAGCTCGTCATCTTGCGGCGGCGGTGTCACCGCGTCGTTCGTATTGATGATCGGTACGATGTTCATGCTGATCAGCTCGGACAGCGTGCTGAACAAGTTTTTACGCGTCTTGTCGTTGTAGAAATCGGGTTTGGTGACCAACACTTGGGCAATCTTGACGCCGTACTGTGAAAACATGGCGTCGTACAGTGACATGAGACCGGATTGGCCGACGGCCGCGGCCGCTCTGGGTTCGAGCAACAATCGTGCGTCCTTCCTGACAGCGTCGTTCGGCGACAACGTCTCTCGCATGCTCAGCGACATGAGTAACTCCTGGGTTAATTTTTGTTTTCCGAACGCTACCGCCCCACTAGTCACCATGATACACTCGCGGCCGTCCTGGTGACACTCGGCTACCTATATAATATATTATAACATCGCATCAATACGTCATAATATAGTGACCCTGGTCACTTACCAAAAGGGACTGCAGAAAATTAATAACTTTCTGACGAAAGATAGTGAGAAACATATATGGCCACATATAAGATACAACGCAGAGTTGCAAACGTTCGAAAAAATAAAAAATCAAAAACTACAGGAACTCTATAACAGGCCAGATATATTATATCATACATGAGAAGCAAATGTCTAGTTAGTTTGGACGTGTTTGGAGAGAGCGAATAGACTTATTGTGAAAGAAATATCGGTGGACATAATAAACAAAAAAAAGACTATTAGGAAGACCCAGAACCCAATGAATAGATGTTATAAGTCAAGACATCGAAAATATAAAAGAAAATACGAATTTTGACAAGGCATACGACAGAGAAAACTGGAGAGGTTTTGTAATGGCAGCAATGGTTCTCAATGGGACTCATAAGGAAGAAAAAAAATGAAGATTATCATAGAGGAGTAGTTAAGAGTGGGACAAACGGGGTACTCGCCCCCTCTTGAAAATGTCGATTTTATTATTATATTATACAATTATATATTTGTATTTTATACAATAAACCTGTCCGTGCAACTCCAGTAGTAATTTAACATTCTATAGTGCGTGTGCCATTATTGTCGGGACTTGCAGTCGTTTTTTACAGCTGCATTTAATACATAACAGGTATAGGTATAATCCCGGTTTTTTTAAAAGCACACCCCGATATTTCTTCAAACTTCGCTTATTATCTCAGTTTTTCACTTCTTATTAACTCGCATTAGTGGTGCTAATAATAGCAGAGAAATACAACATTGATCGGGTGTGGACGAATAAGAACTAAACGAAAACGTAATTATACCTATATATTTGATTTTGATTAAAAGTATGAACAATTCAAAACGATTTTCCGCACAAATAAAATTCTCAGATACGTTACTGCATAGTATAAAAACAAATGTGCCTGCCTATAAACAAAAGGGTTTTTGATATCCAAACGAATACCAAAAATCACTAACATGGCTCCCAAGTTTATGCGCTAAAAAAGCATTAATAAACGTGAAAAACTTTCGAAATTTTCGGTAATACAAACCGATTAATATGCGCTGAAAATCGCGAAATATTGTAAATAAAATTTTGTATTCATATTACTATTAAGCTATGACTTGTGTAACCGATTTAACGGATCTCGCTTAGCATATAGGACTATTAGATTTCGAATAAATTCGTATTATGATATGAATACTACGTTTAAAAGTAAATCGAATACAAACATTACTGCAGTTCGGGAAATTATCGCAGATTTTAAAATCTTTGAAATCACAAAAAAAAAATATATATATACAACATCGACTACGTAATAGATAATATTAAAGAATTTCATCAGACTTCAATTAAATATAATAAGTGCAAACACTTTGACACTATTAGTCAGATAAGTGAGTGTAGTTACGTACTTGTTCGACAATCGATGCCAATCGACCAAGAGCAATTCCATGTTCGTCTTCTCTCGTGATTACGGCACTACCCATTTTCACTACCAGCCTCCGCGCGTATTTCAACTGTGTCCTATCCGAAAACGTCGTTCCGTTAACCGAATGCGAATCAGCCGATTGCAACGCGCGTTTTAAATCCAACTGCATACTCTGAAATTTCAAAAAGAAAAAATATTAATACACCCCAAGTCCTAGGTACCAATGATTTTCGAAGAATTTAATATCGTAAAATAATTTACGGATAGTTGGCTGTAGGATCTCCTGACGCCACATTGGCGAATGCCCGTGGACGTGTTCGTTTTCAAACATCTACAAATGCGAATACTGTTAGACATGACTGCCAGTTTACTGCAATGTTGCCGTCCTAAAATCATAGCGTCCTAAAAAATGAAAATACAAAAGAATAATACATAAAAGTCATCAAAATAACGTTGATAAATGCTGCTAATATCAAGTGATGATTAAATATTATATCAACAACAACAATTAGTATTGTGTAACTCGAAGAAATATCTTTATACAGATATCCCCAGGTTATTATACAAAACAAATTATAAATATTATTTAGTAATCGACATATTTCAGTAAAAAATTTAGAGTAAAATCCAAAAAAAAAAACCGCTAATTTAACATTGTACATAACAAGCAGCTATAGCAATTTGACAATTTGAGTTATAATAAATATCTACTCGTGTTTTTTTTTTTTTTTATATAGATGGACGGCTGACATAACAGTCAAATATAAATGTGATACTTTATATATAAATCTAAAATTTTACATTTTTGTATATATAATTAATCAAATTTTTAAACGTTATAGGTAATATTATCAAATAGTATTTGATAATATTATAAATACTAATCTGACTAGACATCGTTATTTTATGTTTTGTACAAATTTGTCAATTTTTCTGATTTCAACCAATATGGTATCCTAGTTATGTTATACCAACGATTAATATTGTTTACCAATTTCGAGTTCTTAAGTCCCGATAGAGTAACAGAATTTTACCTTATATATTATATTAAATAGTGTGCTTTACCCTTTAAAATGATAATTTAGAACTTATAATAATAAATAATATACAAGTACAAATACATGCAACAGAGGCGTATATTCTTTCCGCATTAGAAGAAAAACTATTGGACAAAAAATGTTTTCAATAGGTACTTTATATTGTCGATGAAATATGTCCAATTTTTCAATTTTAAAAGACATTATTTCGTAATACCAATAATTGTATTAGAAACAACAATGTTTTATGTTTTCATGATATAATTCCGAAAACGATAAAAGTTCTAACCAAAAAATATATGTATTATATACATTAAATAAAACAATTCGTTCGTGTATAGGTAAAAAAAGGTAGTATTTTTTGTTCGCGTTAACACCCCGGCATAGTTAAATCCGCCGTTGTCACTGTACTTTATCAAGATTGTATTTTCACCGGATTTAAGTATAAGTTCACAACATTTTATAGCTTTCGTAGAGTAATCCTAGTGTTGTACATTTTTAAGGAAATAAAGGGAACTATTTGTAGCTACTATTATTATTTTATTTTCTGCACAGAGCAGTTTGCGTATTACGAATTAAGAAACCTGAAAAATCGTATGCTCAAGTATCTACTACCTACTAACTTAATTCAAATACTATCGCAATTTAAACTTTCAATTCGCATACAAAGTAATATTTGATTTAAAAAAAAGATATTCTAAAATTACATTGGTTCCTTTTGTAAAATACTCAAATAAGAAAACACGTATACTTGTTTATGAAAATAAAAACGATTTTTCTAACACAATTTACTTGACAAAATATTCAATTCTATACTTATACTACTAACCTACTATATCACAATGTTTGTTTACTGATACTAAAGGAAATACGTAAAAAGAATTTCAAAAAAGAACTGATACTGGGAATGGGAGAGGCCATTATGATAGTTGAGAAGTTGGGAAGGTAGGATACATATGGTTATTTCATTTATATCTGTAAGCAACGATAAACCATTGCTTGACGAAAGACGATTCTGAGCACAGTTTGGTAATACATAATTTTTGCGATTTTCGTTTAAATTTGATTTCAAAACGCTGATAAAAAAAAAGAATCGTTTATGATTTTGGAAATTTTACCACGTCTAGGTAAGTTCAATTTAAGTATTATTATCAAGTTGTTTCAAGTCTCTACGTGTATTTATAACGGGATTATAGCAACAAAATCCCTAAAAACTAAAATTCCTTAAAAGCTCTCAAAATAGGTAAAAAGTTTTATCAATGATACGGTAAGAAAGTAAATTAAAAAGGCAATAAAAAATATATTATGTGATTTTTCGATTAAATCATTTTTTCTGGTAGAAAACGTCGTCCGTGATTTTATAAAATAATGAAATCGTGAAATTGTACATTTTTCTACTTTTTTTCCCCACTTAAGTGCTTTTATTGAAAAAATGGCGTCGAAAATCAAAAAAGACCTCTTTAAAGTACCATATAAACAACTTGAGATTTCAGAAAAGTTGCTACACGTAAAAATCGGAGTAAATTTATTAGGAAAAAACGTGTCCACAGACTAAAATAATAAGAAAAAAAAAATAAACATCTTAGTAAATCAAATAGCTCCCTCGCTACGCTCAGAGTCTAAAACTATTGATCCACACGTCTTGATCGAATTGCACTCAAACTAAGAGTACGCGATACCCACATCTGCTGTTTTACAAATGTACGGCATAGCATGAACTTGCAACAATCTTGTGCTGTTTGTTTTAATGTAAGAGTGAATTGACCTAACATAAAAGATAAGAACACGCAATCTGTGAAATACAATTTAATTTTCAAGCCAGATATAAGCGTTATTTAATGGTGATATTTCAAGTACTCGAATAAATTTCTCTTTAAGACGAAGACGATACATGCGGGTATCACGCCCTCATAATATTGAAATTATAAATAATATATATCACTCATCGAAAATCAACGAAATGAAAATCAAATTTTTATTTGGTATTAGGTATATTGACTACTTACTTTTCCGAAATTATTAATTAGATACTTGAAACCCGTGTATCAAGTTAGAAAATAAAAATGATTAACCCATTAATAAATTAATTTGAGGGAGTCTAACATAAAATTATTTAATATATCTGTCAAAAAAAAAAAAACATAAAATAATTCGAAAACATGATATAATAATTTTTTATTGGATTTGAATAAAAATGTATTCGAATTTTATCAATTTAATCAAAAATAGTAATTTTGACAATAAATTTAAATAAAATAATAAACAGTTGTTTGGAAAAATGTCGATATTTCTAATATGCGAAAAGAAGTTTATTTAAGTTAATAATACGATAATCCCTATGTGAATTTCATGTTAAAAACGTTTAAAGAATTTAATGTTGATGATCTAACTCACACGAATTTAAACACCTAACGTCTAAAAATTACAGATTTGATGTTTAAAAATATTATTTAATAGCCCTATAAATACCTACTGATGTTTTAGTTTTTGAATTATTTAATAAAAAAATAATAATAATAATAAAAGTAAATATATTTTATATTTTGTACATTATAGTATTATGTACTAACCTGACTGAAAATTTCGAATGGCCGGAGTGGAGCTGGTCTGACACGCTACTGACTTGTCTACACCTACGGTAGTTAACTGCAGGTTAACAATACGAGTAATTACCTACCACATTGAACCCTGGACACTAGTCTTTATTATCGAAATGGCAGATAATAAAAAATAATATAACACTAGTTTCTACTCACCTTTGCCGTAGTGTAGTAGGTACAGACTACAGGTACCTGCTGCTTATCAACATTTCCCGTTTCAGTCGGCCTTTATTATTATATCATTTGAGCAAATTCGGTAAGTAAGTACCTAAGCAACTATCATTACAAATGCATATCAATTAATGTCGATTAAAATAAAATACAATATTTCATATTATACCTATATATTATAATACACGTACGTACCTAAGTACATTTATTTTTGATTAAAGAATACGTATAGATACAAGGTCGGAACGGCCAATGTCGCAAAAGTATATTTATCTATAACCGGGTACTTATAATATTATGTTCCTTGGACTACACTATTTATACGAAGCAGTTCAGGTTCAACGATACGTTTCCTTTAAGATAACACTTATTCTTATCGAAAATCGCGTATTCTATTATACAATATTTTTCTTACGTCAGCGCTATAAACAATACATATTTTATTAACAATTGCTCAAGATAAAATTGATCCGACGAAAAAACAATCATAGGTACCTACCCAAGTACTCATTGCTCATATTCGTTTTTAATATATATTATTTAAAAATGTTTCAAGTATCAATTCTTAAAATATTGAGATTAAACGTGCACAATACTAGAACAATTATTTGTTTTTAAAACTGCAAATTAATCAAATTTATACATTTTATGAATTAAGAGGTGTTAAGAAAGTTAAGAGTGCTTGGGTATTAGTGTAATCTACGCACTTTGTCACAACATTTGGAGTTTGTTTGCGTGTAAATGATATGTTCGTTTCTTATATCATTTCCTATGTATGTATATACCCTAATTAATATTATAAATGTGATAGTTTTTTTGAGTATGTATATTTGTTACTATTTTTTTGAAACTACTAGACGAATTGAGCTGAAACTTTGTGTAGATGTAGTTCTAGACCAAAAATAACATATTGACTATTTTTTCCCAGTATTCAAATCCTAAAAGGAGAAGGGGTGATTGGTATTTTTATTACGATAATATAGGTATTTTTGTTGATTTATGTGCTACCTTGGTGATACAGATGAAATAGAAAAAAGTTTTTAAAAAAAATAGAACTGATACAGGGGACGGATGCAAACACTGCTGTAGGTAGAAAGTCGGGATGGTAAATTATTATACATTAAGTTATTCAATTTATATCTGTACGTGATGATAAATCATTTCTCACAAAAAACGATTCTGAACAGATCTCAGTCACAAGTATTGCTTTTTTTAAAAATGTGCGTTTTTATGACAAAAACTATTGTTTAAAAAAGATTAGAAGATTAAAATAATACAAATTTAATAATAACAAAAAATAAATAAAAATGGTTGCCAATGACAACCATTATTTTTAATCTTTTAATCTTCTTTAACCTAAATAACCAGTTTTCCTCATTATATCGAATATTAATAAAGAATTTTCTAATTATGACCAACTAGAGCTAAAATGCAACAAAAAAAAAAATCTCTTGTCATGTTTTGATTGGAGCAAGATTTCTAGGGAAAAGTTGTTTACGAATATAAAAAAATATACATCATAGTAAAACCAATACATTCCTTATTGGCATTTATGGGACTACCCTAGTGGTGATAGGGATGATAAGTTTGTACTATTTATTTTGGCGTGGGCAACTTCGGGTGGGACAGCCCAGATAGTATATATGTATACAGGGTGATTATTTTTTCATGAACCACCAATTTTCTAAGATGATTTTAATCTAATTTGATTTGTTGTTTTTTTTTTTTTTAATCATTATGAAACCGTTTAAATTGTATTTAAACGCTTTTTTCAATTTTTTCAATCTACTCCTTATATCTGAAATAATTGTCCACTTTGGGCTTTAAAATAGCAACTCCGCCCCCCCTCCTTACAATCATAAATTCAAATAGAGCATACCATATTTTTCTAGATATTTTGATATGTTTGATACTATAGTATAAAATTTACCATTATGAGTTATAATCGTTTAAAGTTTAGAAGTAGAGAAGATAGTTACCAATTTATCATTTAAAAAAAGATATGCAATTTAGTACTCTTCTCTACTCCTCCGGTTTTAACTTTAAATTATTGTAACTCATAAACGGTAAATTTGATATAAGTGTTATGCATATCAAATTGTCTTGACAAAATATATTCTCTATTTGAATCTGTGATTGAAAGGAGGAGGTTGATATTTAATAGTCCACAGTGGATACTCACTTCATGTATAAGCTGTAGGGGTGACAAAATAATTGAAAAAATTAAAAATAATGTTAAAATAAAATTTCCACGATTTCTTAATAATTAAAAAAAAAAAAAACACACAAATCAAATTCACTTCATATCCACCGAGAAAACTGCTGGTTCTTAATAAAAGAATCACCCTGTAAATTTATTGTTTATTATGTAAATTTGAGAGTATGCTAGTATGTTTGTTACCTTTTCACGACTGAACCGCTGAACCTATTATGATACAATTTTATAAAGAGATGGCCCACATTCTGAAAACACACTCTGACTACTTTGTATCACGGAATTAGTTTCCTAAAAGGGCAGATGACACTTTGATTATTAGCCCAATAATATTGAAACTGCATTTTATTCATTCTTTTTCTGGTTTCTATTGATTACACCGGTTGAAAATAAAACCGTGTAATATAATATCTAGAATATATTATATAAAAAAATACACCCGTTAGCAACAGAGATTCGTCACTATAAAGTCAAATTTTCCGGATAAAGCTGGCAGATATAGATTTTAAAAAAAAACGGGATTACAGGCATAATAAAAATAGTTAAATTAAAAGCTTTTATATTATTATTATATATACATAAAACGATAGACCGATAGACAATCATGTCATGCCGGTGAAGTTGTGAGCATAGTGGAGGGTGCGTGTTTATAACTACGGATATTTGATTTGTCACGTGCGAAACCGTGTGGCTATAGCTAATGTTACAATAAATAAGTAGATAATTATCTATGTATAACATTAGAAATTAGTTTTTTGTTTTTAATCAAATTATAGCAATAATTGTATATAACAGTAAAACTAATACATCGTAAAATATATTTGATCTATGCGAAGTACGTTTTAATTATGCTTTTGTTTAGATTATATTTCTTGTAAGTATATAGTTTACCTCCTTATAAACAATTTTTTTTTTTATTATGAAAACGTAGGTACATAGGTATGTGTGTACCTTCCTACCTAACTAGGTATAGGAACCTATTCTGTTGCAGGGTACAAAGAATAAAATAAAGTAATTATGACGTAAATATAAATGTATATGATTTTTTTATAGATAATATAATAATACAATTGAGTATAGGTACCCACTTAAACTAATCACATGTCTAATATTATTATATACAGAAACACTCATAAATAATAATAATAAACAATTTCGTTACAAACGTAGCAATTAATGTACAAAAGCCTATGGCAATTAAAAGCGATTTCAAAAGAAGTCGGTATCTATAATTTTATAGGTTTGAAAATATTATAATGTTATAGTTTGTTTTTATTCTTGTTTTGGTACTATATTATTATATTATTATATATTCGTATATCAATAGGTTACCTAATGACACATTTCTATACACATTGTGATAAATAATATTGTAAAAATAATAAAATAATTTACGAAAACATATAAATACCTATCTATTTAGTTTACATATAACTGTTCATTTCGATTAACGAAAAAGAAATTAAACAAAAGTCCATTGCGGATGTTTGGTGTGCGATCACTACGCTCCTCAGTACTCGCAGTACTCGTACTGGTTAATGTTAGTAAGCAGTGGTGCATTACAGTGTTCATTTTGGGGAGGAGGGTAATATAATTCATACACATATATATATTATATATTATACACCTATAGGTTGTATCTGAACATAAACTCTAATAAGGGGTGAGGCTTTGGGGCTTAGCTCACTCAAAAATGTCAATAATCGTCCCTCCCTAAATTACTTATTTTTTTTTTTTTACATTCATTGAATTAAATATTTTTAAAGACATAAAACAAATTAATAATAAAAAATAAAACTGATGCTTGTAGAGTGTAGACGTGCGTAATATATTTTGTATTCAATAAACAGTTCTAAGCATACCTAACTATCATAGACTATAGTCTGTTGAAATAGTACATTTGTAGTAAGTTTTCTTATTCAGTTACATTGTAATTAGATAAAAGTTTAATATACTAGCGTATTTGAAACTGAGCGTAGCGAGTAAACATTTTTTAGAGGTATCCCGATTCGGAACTGAGCTAAGACCCAGCCTCCTCAACTCTTAAAATCGCTATTTGTACCTATGTATGTGAGGGAATACAGGTCTGAACAATCTGGAAAAAAAAAGAGTAATATTAGCATAAACTAGCAAGCGAATAAAAATGTTAGGTGTATACGATTATAGTTTATATATTGACGTTAGATTATTAATATAATAGTTTATCTTTACGAAAAAAGCTTTTGGGGAAGGGGAAAATTTACCCTATCGACCTCTAAAATGCATAACTGTTAGTCAATAGGTCACTGTTGTAAATGTTAAGTTGGGAAGGTATAGAATAAGTATATAACATGGTAATTTATTCGGTTTACTGAAAGTACCGGTTAACCATTTTAATCGAAAAACGAGGAGATCTTAGTAAACTGGAAAAGTTATAAATATCAGATGGGATTTTCCCTTGTTGTCAAGAAATCAGCATATTAAAATGTATGTGTAACATCATTAATTTGTCAGTTTATTTAATTTTTAATAAAAATGGTTGGAAATCTAGAAAAATTGTTGATCTAAAGTACCACTATTCGAAAATCCTGCATCTTTTTAAGGCTCATCATGAACAAATTTGAGCATTTTATAGTTTATAGTCTTACCTAATGCACAACTTGTATATTTGGTTCAAATATGAAAATAATTATAGAAGAACATTAATATGATTTATACGAATACCTACTATTCCTGCAGGAATTATGTTTAAACTTTCCGCTTTCCTGAAGGACAGGAGTATTTATAGTTTATCTACCTGCAGAATACGATAAATTGCATGTCATACTTATACGATTTGGGTTGTCAACTCAAATTTATGGTATCAATAGATTCGCATAAGAAATAAGTACTTTTATAGTCGTTTAAAACGAATTGGTTTTTTTTAGATTCTGAATGGAACGAGTATTAAAAAATTTTTTTTAATTTTTTTTTTATGTAAACACTTTCTCTTCCAGAAAGCATACTCCGATTATCAAGTCTAGCACTTTTTCTGAAAAGAAATGTTCTCCGGGTGGTTCTTTAGAGAGGTATATAAGTTTTTTTTTATTTTTTATACATATTCGCTGTAATACGTCAAAACGAGTCGATTTACGAAATAATATCAATTACAAACAAAATTTCAGTTTACACCTTTTACCTTTACCTACTAACCCCTCCAATTGTATATGTATTTAAATGTTGGAGGTTTCTATATATGAGTCAAGACACTTTGTGTAATGCTTGACGAAAGACAATTCCGAGCGCAGTTTGGTAACATAATTTTAAATGACGTAATATTTTTTTTTTTTGCGATTTTCGTTCAAGTTTGATTTCAAAACGCTTATTAAAAAAAAAAATGTCTTCCTATAATTTTCAAAATTTTATCACATCTAAGTACTTAAACTTATATTAATAAGTATTATTACCAAGTTTCAAGTCTCTACGTGTATTTATAACCAAATTACAGCAAAAAATCTCCCAAAAATTAAAATTCCTTAAAATGTTTTTATATAATGTGTATTGTTATTATTATTATTTGTTTAATGCATTAAATTCGCGGTCTTTGGCCTTTACAATAACACGTATTAGGTAATTACCAAGGTAGGTACTCAGTGGCAATTTATACATACTTATCAAATATTTTAATAGTATACCTAAAACTTATAGTTCAATAACCGATAATATTAGTTTTAAACAATAAAAAAAATTAAATTACAAATGCTTTAGAACTTGGAATTTATTTTTTTTGAAAAATATTATAAAATATTGTTAAATTGTACGTAAAAATAATTATAATGCCCTTCCTCACACTCTACGTGTATTTATAATCGAATTACAGCTCTCAAAAATTAAAATTTCTTAAAAGCTATTAAAAGTAGCTAAAAAGTTTTAGCAGTTATACGGTAAGAAAGTAAATCAAAAGGCAACAAAAAATATAGTATGTGATTTTTCGTTCTGGTAGAAAACGTCGTCCGTGTTTTTATAAAATAATGAAATCCTAAAATTGTACGTTTTCGACACTCAAAAAAACTTCTCTAAACAATTTATACAACTTGAACTTTCAGAAAAGTTGCTGTAGGTAAAAATCGGAGCAAGTTTCCTAGGTAAAAACGTGTTCACAGACTAAAAGAATTACAAAAAAAAATAAACATGTTAATAAAACCAATAGCTACGCTCAGAATCTAAAAAATACTAATATGTACTAGTATTTTTTAATAAAAAATTGTTTTTTACATAATAATATAAGTAGTGCTTAGAAAATTTAAAAATGATCTATTAATACTATATTTGCAAATTGAGATTTTTAATTTATTTAGATTTCTGCCGACATCTGTACTATCGGTTGTCAAATTTGTTCAAAATTGTGTTCGGAACTGCACGTTTAGAATCTAGCAACTCGGTTTGCTTGTAGACTCGTTGGCTTTCCTAATTCGTTTACTTATAGAATATTTCATTTCAAACGATCAAAATAAATTATTCAAACAAATTATTATGTTTACACTTTGTATACGCATTATATATGAATAAAAAAATAATTTTAGCTTCGGAGTTTAGCGAAGAATGTATTGGTTTTACAAAATTTTTTTTTTTTTATGAATAATTTTTCTACCAGAAAACTTACTCTTATTATTAATTATAGAAGCTTTTTTTCTGAAAGGAATTATTGTTCTCTAGGTGATACTTTAGAGAGGTCATTTTTAGAAATTTTCATTAATATTCGAGATAATGAGGAAAAACTGGTTCTCTAAGTTAAAAAAGATTGAAAGATTAAAAATTAGATTGTCATTGGCAACCGTTTTTATTTATTTTTTGTTATTTTAACCTTTTTTAAACAATCATTGTTGTCATGGAAACATTTTTGTAATCATTTTACCATAATATGATATATACCATACATTATATTGTTGACAAAGCAACATTATAATAAATACCCATTTAATTAACTATTAAAAGTACAAACAGAATAAACGATTTAAATGCAAATATAAAAAAAAAATATTGCAAACTTTATTAAAGCAGGTAGTTACCTACTTCAAATGGAAACTGAAGAGATAACTAAAAAAAATTTAACACGTTTAATTAACTAATGCAAGTGTAATTGCAGATACACCTGCACCGTTTAAGTTGAAACGGTTCGCAATATAGGTAAAACCTTTTCTTTTTTCTGGAACCATTACAAATTTATACATATCTATATTATATATGTAAATTTGAAAAGAAATATGGATTAATCAAAAATTGATGTAAAACCGACGACATCCCGATTTTTTTAAATTCGTGATCAAACTCGATGTTTCAAAAATTATATATATTTCACTCTTTTTTTTCCCATTTGGTTTTTAATTTTTTAATAAGATATACATTTTACCGTGAATATTGGTATTTAAAAAAGATACATTCGCACGATGAGCGAGTCACTGTTGTAAGTGAGATATTGCTATTAAAAAACGATTTTGAGCGGAGTTTAGTTAATAGTGTTGGTTTGATAGCAATATATATTACTTTACCATGTATGTAGTATGTAGGTACCTAGATATAAGGACGTAAATATTTTCAAAAACGAAATTAAAGTTATTAATTTGAAGTCATTAGATAAGAAGTATAAGAGATGTTGTACATTTTAGATGTGCAATCATGAGAACTCCAAGAACTGTATACACAACACATGCTGTTATACAAATGAAATTAATGTTGGTAAAAATGTTTATCACTTCATCAGTAACGCATATAATACTTACCTTATAATAATTACGTTTGTGAGAAAAAATAAACAAATCTAGATTTTTAGGTCACTCAAGTCAATATTGACGAGGTGAAGGAACCAAGAATAAATAAGCTATACACCTACCCTAGGTGACTACTATCTTCCTTATTTACAACAACACAATGGATACCATAAAAAAAAAAAAATAATAAAAATACTTATCAAGTTAAATTAAAGTAATTTATGCACGAGACCCGTGTTAAAAAAAAATTGTTATATATTATTACATAACAGCCACCGGAACTTCTTAAACCTCGCCAAGATGATTTGATGATTGCATGATTATAATGGTCTTTAAAAATATCTGTGACAATACCCATTATAATTAGAATTTGTGTATATTTTTTTTGAATATGCAAAAATAATATCATGAAACAGTATTCTCGCCTCTTAAATCAATCTTTTAAATTTAATCTGATAAAATATATTATAATAATCACGTGGTCGCAAAAGAGCAGCTGTACAATTAATTTCCCTGAGTATCTACCTATAGCAGTTAGCTTTCACAATAATATATCTTGCTAATTATTATTAAACAAGTCCACTTGTAGACTATTTGCTTGTACAAGCATATACAGAATATTAATTAACTTAAAGTTTAAAATTAATACTTAACATTAGTATCAAACTATTAACATAATACATTTTTTGATAACATTGGTAGTAGTTTTATATTATATCTTTTTCTTCAGTTTCATTTCGAATCATAAATATTATATTTTTGTCTTCTGGCGAGTTATAATTTAAATTCTTTATTTTCTCTTTCCCTCTAAAGTCTATAAATAGTTTTTAATATTTGAATTTAACAATATAATATAATATTAAGTTTAAGTTTTGTTTTTTTTTTTTCATTATTGTTTCATTTTAATATCGTTGGTAGATAGATACCTACAGTTAATTTTTAATATAACAATTTATAAACGAATTTATTATATTTTACAATAACCATATACATACCTAATTATATATTACAACATTTTGTTATCAATTATTGCAGACGTTATTATATTACAAATATAGTTATTATACACCGATATACCTACTTATAGTAATAAAAATAAACTATTATCTAAAGTTTTGATATAAAATAATCATATAATTTTTAAAATTATTATTTGATTTCAAATTTTTAAAACTTAAATAACTCAAAGGTTTTGAATGGTTATTTTCTATGATACATGCGCTTAAAATCGATTAAAAATAATTATGTAGATAATAATAATCAATTAGTAGCTAACTTGAGCTTTACTTACGTATTTTAATTTTACCCTTGATATTTACGTACAATATATTAAAATTATAGTTAGGTACATAATATTCTCAACAATTAAAGTTATCAAGATATGTAGGTAAACATAACACGAAAAAATATGGACATTAATTAAATAGTTTTAATAAAATATATATCTAGGTACCTATAAGTACCTACCTAATATTTGTGTTATTTAATATAACTGAAAGGGTATAACTAAATATAGCTCAATAGGTATAACATAACATTATACAGTGTTTATCAAACTTCATTTTAGAATACATGATGATAATATGATATCGAAATATTTTTACATAAGTCTTTTTTTGAAAAAACAAGTATTTGACAAAAAAAATTTGACAATTTAAACTGATAATATTATGTAGTATGCATTATAAAATATATTTAAATTTTGCCCTTATAGCAGTTATATTATTAATATTAATAATCAAAAACAAATTATTATTATTATTATTATTATTGTTATTTTTATTTTTATTGATAATGGGTATTAGTAAATTAAAGTTTCTTAAAATAATAATATAGACATACCTACGTGAAGGAATTCATGGTTAACCTTCTACGCTTATTATTACAAAATAATAATTGATATTACATTAATAATACCTGTGTAGGTATACGTAGGTACCTTTATTTTTTTATAACTTATTGAATTTGTTTATAATAATGTTATGTTAAACATTTAAATTACGTGTACTTAGGTACCTAGGTACGTAATTCAAAATAATCAAAATATACCTAACCGAGTTTTACTTGTTATTTAACTTTAACCCCTACTGTACGTTATAGAAGTAAGTAGGTAGATACTCCTGAACTAACATACGAAAAATTAACATTATTATAATTTATCTAAGTAAAGCTATTAAATAGTGATACTATGCCACAAACAATTATTTAGTTGTCCAACTATCGTAATTTTAATTTATAATTATACATGGGTACCTACACGAAATCACTGTGTAATGTTATCATCGTTACTTGTTTAAATACATGCATACTTCAAATGTATACCCACTAAACGACATAATGTAAGTAGGTAGTATAAATAAGTGACAGTTACAAATAACAACAAACAATTGATTCATAATAATCTTCTTTGGTACCTATTAAAGCTAATTTATAGTCGTATATATTATCTTGTAATAATACAAGTACCTACTATACCTAATTTTGATGATAAATAAAATATTAGACTACTTAAACAAATAGTAATACAATTTGAGAGTGATACTTCACTAATCCAAGATAAATTGCCTGAAAAAAATTGCGAAAATTATAATTATGGTATATATTGTACATCATTGGTCTCAAAGAAGAAGGCTCAAGTTAATTTTCACATTTTTCCCTATAATCATTTTACATTTTCAATAATTTTAGTAATTCCATAATTACTGTCATTTTTCAATTTTATTTTTGTCGTAAAATTACTTAATTTTTCAATTATTATAAAGTTAATTTCGTAATACTGTACAAAAAATTAAATTAATTCAAATCATTCAAGTAGGAATTTTTAAAATATTATAATACTTATTATGTAACTATTAATAATGTGTATTGTTATTATTATTATTTGTTTAATGTATTAAATTCGCGGTCTTTGGCCTTTACAATAACACGTATTAGGTAAGTACTTACTCAGAAAACCAAGGTAGAGGTACTCAGTGACCATTTATACATACTTATCAAATATTTTAGTAGTATACCTACCTATAGTTCAATAACCGATAATATTAATTTTAAACAATAAAAAAAAAAAAATTAGAAATGCTTGGATCTTGGATTTTTTTTTTTTTGAAAAATATTATAAAAGATTGTTAAATTGTACGTAAAAATAATTATAATGCCCATCCTCGCACTCAACACATTTTAAACAAGTACTTAGGTACCTACACATTTCACATTGACAAATATTTGTTTATTTATTTTCTTTTATGCTGAGCTATAGTTACCTAAATTTGTATACATGTTATGTCTATTGTACCTATATTGTTATAAATCTAAATTTTATGAATCTAGGATAAAATCCCGTCGCCAATATCTCACCACCAAAATCCCGTGAGACAAAATCACGCCTGGACAAAATCTTGCAAAAAAAAAAAAAAAAAATGATAAATAAATCAAGTGACATTTTAATACATTTTTTTCATTTAAATTTTAAACACCAAATTGCAAATTATAAGTAATCTCACTAGATAGTCGAGAGTTGGTATGGTTAGGATGGAGTTGGTCCAAATATGTTGCTATAAATTTCATATCGGAAATTCAAAAATAAGATATGATAATAATGCCATTTGTTTAGGCGCAGGATTGTTTACAGATAACTTAATATTAGCTAATAGTGTATGACGAAACCGTTTTTTTTTTTATTTATATATTTTTAGAAAAATCCAAATTTGTTGAAGTTCAATAATTTGGATTTTTGGATGCATAACTTAGTTCAAATATAATAATACATATTTGGAAAAAAAATACCTACGTATACGCCCAAAACAAATTTTGCAAGGTCAAAATAGCGTTATAAAATACGTTATGACAACATTTTGTCCGACGAGATTTTGGCGACGGGATTTTGTCCGGACACCATTTTTTATACACTATACGCAAATTGTTGACAAATTTAGCATTAAATATAACATATTATAACCGTTTAATATTAAAGATAATACTTACTCATTATTCGTCCTGTAAATTCAATAAAATATATTTATTTCACTTTTCAGTAACTGTTATGTAAGTTCTAAAACTGGCGATGATGTTCTGCTTTAATGATGATAATATGTCTGTAAAAAGCAAATGATGAATATTGAAAATAATTAATTTCTTTAGTATAATAGATGCCATTTACCAATGGCATGAAGAAGAAATTGTCAACAAAAAGTCTAAAAGTCGGTGGAGAAATTAATAATTTTTACAAAATTTGAATATGAAGAAAGTATTGAGTTTATTAATAATCACTTTTGAGTTAGATACGAGATTGTTTTTTGTTTTTTGAGATATTTTTTGAAATTAATGTTAAATTTCTATAAAATACTGAACCTAAGTCTAGATAACCTTAAGGCTAAAATGCTGGTCTTAAAAAATTTGGTGGATAAAGAATACTTTGAAATTAAAAATATCGTAACTATTGTAAACGACAATATTTTTACAAATTTGTATTAACTCCAATCTTCATTAAACATATCTATTAGTTCTGAAATATATGAACTCTCATTCTCATTTATGAAGTGAACAAAGAATATATTGGATTAGAAACGTTGGTCACTTTGATTTTAGTTAAACATGAGTACCTCTATTTATAAGACTATTATAGCCCTCACAAATAACTAATTATACTAAGTTATGCCCATGTGACATATACATAATTATTATAATATTGGCTCATTTTTCATTGTAATTTCTTAATAATTAATTAATTAATTATTAGTCATTTATTACGATATAATTCGGGTTTGGACAATTTAAAATCTAATATCATTTGAATTTCAATATTGTATTCAGTTGACTTGAAACGTTAACAAAATAAAAGTTGTATATTTTGAATTATATCTTAAGTATAATATTTTATAGTAGGTGGACACCTATACTAAGTATATACGTATACTAATATAGTTAAGGGAGTAGAAATATTATGCAAGTAGTTTCAGTATACTTATATTAAGAGCCAAAGCAGTAATGATTACAATGACTACTGCAGTAAACATTAATGCAATTAATGAAAACAATTAATTTTACAATAGACGTATAAAACGTTAAGGTATAAGGTTAAGGCCATTACTTAAGTACAATATCAGTACCTACCTACCTCCTAATAATTCAATCATTAGGTGTATTGTGTATTCGAATGAATTAAACGAAACACGACCGAATAGCAAACGATAGCCATCAAAAAGTACGAATACATCTAATAACCTAAACTATTAAAGCTAAATAGTAAATATTATGAATGTATTCTTAAATAATTTTTATAATAAACAACACAAAATTTATTTTCTGAAGAGATCTAGTAGGATATATCTATTGATTTTACAATAAGTAATGTTTTATTTA